GCCTCAGCATGGCCGAAGAAGCGGTGCGTCCGTGCTTGCCCAGGATCCGAATCCGGCTGCCAGTATCAGAGCGCAAGCACTTAACCGCTAAGCCACGGGCCAGCCCCCAAAGAATTCTTAATCCTATTAGGCCTCTGAGAAAATTGCTTGAGCTTTTCAGCAGGGAGGCCAGCAACTTCCCAGAGGGGGCTCTAATTACATCACACAAAAAGTTCTGTCCCAGACCAGATCTGGGGCAGTTTTCTTTCTTTATCAGCAGGTTTGGGAATAGAACACCCATGTTCTTTTCTAATTCTGTATCAGTGTTCCACGAAATAAGAAAATTTTAGCATATGCCTTTTATAGGGTATACTTGAGAAATATGTTATTTTGTTTTTGGGGTTTTTTTTTTGTGAGGAAGCTCAGCCCTGAGCTAACATCCATGCTAATCCTCCTCTTTTTGCTGAGGAAGACCGGCTCTGAGCTAACATCTATTGCCAATCTTCCTCCTTTTTATTTTTCCCCCAGAGTCCCCGTAGATAGTTGTATGTCATAGTTGCACATCCTTCTAGTTGCTGTATGTGGGACGTGGCCTCAGCATGGCTGGAGAAGCCGTGCGTCCGTGTGCAACCGGGATCCGAACCCGGGCCGCCAGTAGCGGAGCGCGTGCACTTAACTGCTATAAGCTTAACTTCTAATGAACTTATCAAACTGAACAGGTCTGAATCTTGAACAACTCATAAGTAGAAGTATCCCTCCCATGAGATGGTGGAATTCCCACTAACGTTAGAAAGAGACCACACTGTAGGTCAGATGGGAACACATGGGACCAGGAGGGAACACAGACACCAGATACACTGCTGATTGCCAACTTAACTGAAGAAATTAGGCTTGACTTCCTTTGCTAGTGTCACCGAATTTTTAAAAAGTTATATAGGAAACTAGAATTTCCATTGGCCATTCATCCTGAGTGTTATTTTTCAACTAGGTTATAATGACGATGTTGGAAACCATGCAATGAAACCAATAAATGAAAATAAAGGTAATTATCTAATTAAGTTTTTAAAATTAGAAACCCTTACATAAAAAAGTCTCCTAGGAAAAGAACTAGAACTGTTAAGACCTGTGGATATTTCCCCACCTCTCTTAAAGACCCTGTCACTGACTGCCGTGTAAATGAAGATGGCTGCTTGCTTTCTCCAAAGACGCTGTCCAGTGTCCCTAATGGGAAAGTAACCTAAATTCCAGTAGGAAAGAACTGGGTTATACCTAAAAGGGAACTTGCTGATTCAGAATGGGCTACTGAATAAGGTGGGAGGATCTCCTTTCTCTTGGATAGTAGAGGTGGAGGTGTTTTTAAAAATAGCATTGCAGCAAATCATCAGGTTGTACACCTTAAATTGACACAATGTTATATTATCAATTAGCTCAGTAAATCTGGGGAAAAAGTATTAAGGGGCTGGGATGGGAGAAGTATACAGGGTCCTTCAAAGATAGTGAAAACCTTCTTTTTCTTAAAAAGGGTAATAGGTACACTGTTATTTATTGAATTGTTATATTTTATACATAACATAAATATTATTTTGTATCTACTAAGTATTTAATAAAAATGAAAACTACACTGTAAAAAATAAAATAGCATTGCCACTAATTTTTTAAGACAATTAACAATAAATTACTTGCTTCTGCCTAAAGCTTAGAAGGATTGGGCTAAATCATTTTTCAAAATTCCTTTCCCCTTGGCGCTGCTATCATGGGAGCTAAAACTCCAAAAAAGTAAAAGGATTCTGTAGATAATTCTGTGTCCTTGACAGCAGAATCACTGTTTTAGCTGCTGGTGAGAAACCCTGATTCTTTGAGGCTACAGAAATGAAACAATAATATTATTTTGAGTTGAAGACAAACTAATTTACTAGATTTCACCATAGCACCGTGACAGCTTTCGTTCACTTGTTTCTCTATGCGTATGCCTCATACTCTCAGAGCGTTTTTGGGCTGGGGACACTGTTCCTCATTTCCTAAGATTCTTTCTGTCTTGGAGATAGCTTTCCACACCTGTGGCTGTGAGAAGGCTCCTAGAGTTGACTGCTGGGGCTGATACTGGCTGTTTTCTGTACCTACTGAGCTTTTACAAATCCTCCCAGTGGAAACAACAGGGACCTGGGCAGGAGAGTCCTTCCACACCCCGACAAGCGCAGGACTCTTCACTGTCTTCCCCAGCCTTAGGTTTCTTGCCCACTTGCAATGGAGTTAAGCCTGTGTCCGGCTTTCCCCCTCGAAATACAGAATACTGTAATCACTTAACTGGCAGTCTCTAATGTGGTCTGAGGCCTCCAAGGAGATCCTGTCTAACTGCAGGGTGCTGTGGTTCTTTTGAGCAGAGCCTCTGACCTTGGATGTGGAGTACACAGAAGTGGAAGTGACCCCATCGGAGCCTCACCAAGGTAAACACCATCACTTGAGTGATTCCCTATGCTTTGCTCTGCTCTCTACTGGGGTGTAGACGCCGGGGTGGGGTGTGCTGTGACCCAGGGACAGGAAGGGAGGTGGTCTGCAGTCAGACCTGCTGGACACGCCTAAGGCAGGAGCAGTGACCTTTGCCCAGGCTTTGAGGTGTAAAATTTCATTAGTTATTATTTATCATACTACTAATAACGGATACGTTTTATTAAGCACTTACTAAGTGATAAGAAATGTTTGTTGAGAGACTTTTTGAGGGCAGCCTCACTCCTGGGTGTTTGGGCTTTCTTCCAGAGGTAACCCCCTTGCCCAAACCCAGCATCTTCCTTAAAAAGTTGCTTGCAATCTGAGCTTGTGTAAATGAAATGCATGTTTGAAGGTAGTGAGGGCTCTGCTATTTAAAGGGACACGTGGGTAAAGGTTTTTGAAAGAACAGAATCCCTTTTCATGTAAACAGAGGCACTGGCTTTATGCTTCAGGTTTTGTTTTTATGTGCATGATTCTCTCTTGCGGCCTGACCTGGAGGTCCCTAGCTCTGGTTTTGTGCTGGGGAGACTGACTCAGAGTGGGCGGGTCCACAGCAAATGCAAGAACATCAATCTCAGTTGCCTTTGGCCCCACAAAAAACCATGCATATCTTCCTAACCCTCCTCCACCTTAGTTCTCCCAGAGGCCACTGCATTCTCAAGGAAGCAGCCACCCAGAGCCTCCTGCCCTGCTGGGAAGCTCCTTGGGGCTATTGCCATGCATTCCCCTTCCTGCTATGGCTCCACTCAGCCATACAGGCCTGGGGCAGCTTTCCAGACCAGGCCTGTGTAACATTACCCAGAGCCACACGGCAATGACCTCCTCTTGTCACCTCTTGCTCTATGTTTTGGGAGGAGTTTTGGGTTCCTTCCTTCTTCCCTTGCTTAGGTTCTGCGTACCATGTCAGCAAGTATGTGCACAGAACCTTCAGGCAGAACCCTTAGTCTGTGTGATGCACAGCAGGGGCACCATTCCCATAGTCTGCAGTCAGAATGGCCCCTAGAGTTGGTACAGCCCAATCTGTAGACTACAGAGGGCATCCTGCTTCCAAGTCTAGACTGGACCTGGGAGGGGTGGGGACCATGGCAGGCCTGAAGTTCTCTCCCTCTTTATTTCACTGTAAAGTGATTTGCTTGTTGAGTTAACAAATTAAGGGCCCATGATGGACCAGCCCCGTGCAGGCAGCAAAGGATATATGTGGCCCCTCATGAAGGTATAGCCTATGAGGGAGCTGGGAAAACAAGAATCTAAGAATAAACAGATACTATCAGGTTATATTAAGTGCTTGGAAGGAAAAGAACGGGTACAATGAGAAAGTATGAAAAGTGACAACTTTTCCAGCTTGGGTAGTCCCAGGAGGCCTATTTGAGGGGTAGCATTTAAGCTGGGGCCTGAGGGGCACAAAGAAGGCGGCCCCACCAAGAGGAGGGAGGGGTGGGAGGACCCAGGAAATGAGAAGGGCGGTGTGAGTTGGCCCAGAGCTTGGCTCATTTAAGAATCTGGAAGGAGACTCATGTGTTTGCAGACAGAGTGAGAGGGAGAGGAAGCAGATAAAGCTGGGGAGGATGGGGTCGGGCCTGCAGAGCCCCTGAGGTTCTCTTTGCCTTCTAGTCTCAGTGAATTAGGGGCCTTTGGAAGCCTTTAAGCAGGGAAGTGACAGATTCCCACTTCCTTCTTTAAAAACGATCCTTGTGGCTGGTGTGGAGGATGGATTGAAAAGGGGACAAGAATGGAAGCAGAGAGACCAGTGTGTTATCACCAGGCGAGGGGATGAGGGAGGAGCCGAGGTGCTGGCAATGGATGGATTCTGGATATATTCTGGAGACATCACAGCACTGGATGAAAAATTTCGTGGCCAGGATGAGGGAGACAGAATCGCTCCATGTTTCTGGACTGAACAACTGCATGGATGGTCATGATGTCTGTGACAGGCTCTCGGTGAGATCTGGTTCAGCTAGGTTAAATTTGAGATGCCCCAGAGGAGACCACACAGGGGTCTGGTGCTCAGAACTGAGTCTGAGTGGGCTGTGGCCAGTGGGACTGTAGGGTGCTCCCTGCCCTCTTTCCCTGGTCCAGTCTGAACCCCTCCATCACTGTGCATCGTGGGCGCAGTCTCGTGGGTAACAGCTTACTTCCTCTTAAGAGGGCTTCAGGCTTGGAAGGAAAGAAAAACCATAACAGGAGGGCAGAGCTGCCCAAAGACTTTGCATGTGTGTGGAAAAACCCTGCTGTCCTCCACACCCCACAGAGCACTCAAGCAGACAGCGATTGCCCTGGGCTCTGGCCTCGAGGTTCTGATACTGTTTCCAGAGGGCCAGACCCTGCCCTTACTCTGCTGCCAGCTGGGCCAGGGCGAGGTGGAATTATGACGGCTGTGTTTGGTGGCTGGAAGGCTTTGGATTTGAGGGAACTGAAGCAGCATGAAGGAAGCAGGGTTTTGTCCTTGGAAAAGTCTGGTTTCCCCTCCTTTGGGAATGTTTCCATGTCAGTAGCATCTGGTTTTCTTTTTCTTGCTTGAAGATGGGAGAGTTTGAAGGGAAAAGAAGGACCCCTAGCACTAGGTGAAGCAGGGTTGCTCTCCTTGCCAAGCTGTGCAGCTGCAGGGTTGCAACCACCCAACAGGTCACCTTTTCCCAATTCACACAAAGGTGCTGTGTGGGCTGCGGGGCCTTGGTAGAGCTAGAGTAAGTGTCGCTTGGATAGAGATGGAGAGTTTCTAGAGGATTCAAGTTGAGTTTTCTGGACCCAGCCTCCCTGGCAGCTAGGGGACAGTGGGGGAGGGCAGGCCTGGCCTACGATATTGTCCCTTTGCTTCCTCATAAGTGGGGAGTGGGGCATTAGTAAGGGTTCAAGGCCAGTGGTGAGTAAACCTGACCTGGTCTTGGCCAACCCAGTTCCCTGTTCTCAGGGCCTCCTTCCTCTACAGTTGGGAGGGAGGAGGGGATGGGGACCATGTCCAGTTCTAACGCTGGCTGGCAGCTGACCAAGTGGTCGCTTAGGGGTGGAGGAGGGGCGGGAAGGAACTCGTTAAACCCCGGTTTGCTGCTTGTTTGCTCTGAGACTAATTGCTGGGAAAACCCCATGACGTTGAAGCCATCTCTTTCTCTGTTAACAGAGGAAAAACAGAAGCCAAAATAAAGGCCCATCAGGAAACATCCCTGACAGCAGAGACAAACAGCCTGTCGGCCTGGGTTAGTCATTAGCAGGCAGCTGCTGCCACAGAGGGGAGAGGTGGGGAGATAGTCATGAGCTGTGACTCCCCACCCCCATCACTGAGCTGGGCAGAACCAGGAGGGCAGCAGGAGAAACCACTGGAGCAGCTGCAAATCTAGCAGCTCAACCAAGAAGTGGAAACCACCCTGCTGCCCTGGCTGATGCGCAGAGTTAGGAGATGAAAGAGAGTCAAGTGTGGCTTCTCAGGTCCAGAGGGAGTTAGAGAGTCCCCAAGGTGACCAGAGAGGTCTACTGACCATCCTTTATGGGCCTGGGGGTAGTGGAGTTCACAAGGGTGTCCAGGCCCCCACGCTTGGCCACCCAGCACCCGCACTCAATTCCTTCCCGTTGTGGGGCTGGGTCAGAGGATGAACTGGCAGGAACCCCAGCACATCAGATATGCGGTGCCCTATAGTGTTTATCACAGCGTTGTTTGCACATCATCTGCCCCACAGCCTGGAGCTCTGGAGAGCTGGGACCAGATCCAGTTTGCTTTTTCCTCTTTCACGGTGCCCAGCACACAGGAGGTGTTAGGACCATGTTGAATGACTGACTTGCCCAGGCCTGACATTGAGCAGAGTCCCTTGGGGATATGGTAGATCCCCCAGCAGATATGGGGATTGCTGGAGATTCCCTCCACACTCCCAAATCTGGTGCCGTGGAGGGAGGGTGGAGAGCAGTGTGGGCATCTCTGCTGTTCTCTTAGAGAAAGACAGGTGTCCCAGCAGGGGGATGCTGGGTATCTCAGCCACTCTCTTGCGTGCCAGCTCCTGTTCAGTGCCCTGGGGAGTTACTACAATGCCTTCTGCAAGGCTCTGGCACCCCAAATGCCCCCCTGTCAGGATCTGAACTACCCCCCTTTCTCCTGGCATTTGGCTCCTGACCCAGGAACCGCCACATTTAGTGTAATGAAAGACCGTGACTTTAATCCTAAAACCTACAACCTCAGGGATTGGGCTGATTATGCAAGACCTTCCTGAAGGTCGGGGGTCTGAGACAGAGAAAGCTGCAGGGACACTGACTAGTGCCTTTACTGTCACATCAAACCTTTACAAGTGCTTCCATGTAGCTGTGGGAGGTCTGGGACTGGGGGATGTGCAAAACCTCAGGGGCTGCCCTGGAAGAGTTCGGGGTCCACGGGGGGAGATAGTCGTGGGGACAAACAATGTCAGTGTGGTGGACAAGTGTCCCCAAAGTGCTGTGGGAGCACAGGGGGCCCACGTAACTGCCCAGCGCACAGGGAAGGGGTGAATGTGTGAGGGAGTATGTAGGTGGGTGAGGGTGTGCGTACCTAGTGCAGGAGCAAAGCTTGTCCTGGGGCTTAGAGGACGAGGGGGAACAGGGCAGAGAAAAAGTGTCATGCAGGCAGTGGCGGAGTGTGTGCAGGGTCAGGGGGTGAGAAAGGGGGGGCGTCCCTGGAGCATAGTGAGTGGAAGGAATCTCGGTACAATTAGAGTCCATGAACATGCCCTGGCCATCTGCCCCCGGGGAAAGAAACGTCCGTGTGACGCTGCCCGTGGCGGCAGGAAGCATTTTAGTCTGGGGTTCCGTTTTCTGAGCTGTAGAAGGAGAATGCTGGCCACAGGGATCAGGTGCCTTACTACAATGAGGCTTCCTGGTCCTTTGTGCAGGTGAGAGGAGCCGGGGAAGTGATGGGTCCCATCCTGTTTCCTGAGGGTTTGTGAGTGTGCGTGTGCACACTGGTGTGCAGTCTGTGTGTGCATACTGTGTGTGTGTACATAAGTGTGTATACATGTGTGTGTATACACAACCTGTGCATATACATCAACTTAAAATAAAAAGATGGCTATACTGGCGTGCTTTGTCTCCCAAACCCTTGAGTCTCCCCTGGGTATAATCCACACCCTGGGTCGGTCATCTTGTCTGCTGTTCAGAAAGGTCAAGACTGGAAGATCTCAACCCTGTCTGCGCGTTAGAATTTCCCGGGGAGCTCTTAAAACGCACCAGTGCCAGGGCCCACTCCAAACCACTTCTATCAGAATCTGCAGTGGGCCCAGGTGTGGCATTTGAAATCAACTAGCCCAGCTGTCTAGATCTGTAAGCAGTTCTCAGTCCCAGCTGATCCTTAGAGTCACAGACGATGCCCAGGCTCTAACCTAGACCTCGGGTGATTGGGAGGCCACAGCCCAGCATCCTAGGAGAGGCTGGCAGGGCAGCTGGACACAGGGACACAGTGGCAGGGAAAGAGGGATGAGACCACAGAGCTGGAGGCTGCAGGCCTGTGCCAGGGGCCCCTCCACCTACGGCCCTTTAGGTCCAGGGTTCCCACAGTGGCCTGTTGACCTCATACTTCCAGGCTGAGAGTGACACTGGTTAGACCAGGATCTTCTAAAGCCAAGAACTGGGCTTCGTGGTGGCAAGGTCTCCAGGCACTCGTGAAGACAGGCACCTTGGGGTGGGGCCGTGGGAGCCTTGCCCAGGGAGCCTCTGACATTTTCCTGCTTCAGCAGTGGGCTGACCTGGGGCCCAGAGACAGCTATTGACCTTTGCCTCTTCCCTTTTCCAGGTCTGGGAACAAAGGGCACGGAGACAGTGTACAGTGAAATCCGGAAAGCTGACCCTGGTGAGTGAGGGCCCCCTGGCTCCCCCAAGCCTGGGAGGACACTTCCCCCAGAATCATCCATAGGGCCTTGGAGTGGGCAGAGAAAAGAGGGAGCAAAGGAGGCCCAAAAGGGGTGCCACCTCTTACACCAGAGTTGTTGACTCTCTCAACACCCTTAAAAAGTAGTCACGGGTTACATGTGCTATTTATTTAGTCACCAAACATGTTGAATGCCTGCTACAAGGCAGGCAAACAGAACCTCGTACATTCACAATACCTAATGGGTGGGCGAGTGAACGGGAGTGTGTCCTGGCACCACTGTGTGCTCACAGGACGCCTGGCAGGGTTACGGGCACTGTCTCATGACCCCAGAGAAGCTGAGTGGCCCTGCCTATTCTCAGGTGCCAGCCAATGAGCCTCACCTGCTCCTCACACGGGCCCTGGTGCACGGGGGCTCCCAAAGGTCTTGGACAAAATCAGTGCTTTGCTTTGACGATGGCAGTCGCTTCAGCCTGTCTGGGAGAACACTGACTTTGGGGCGGGGGTCCCGATCTGCTCCCACTTCTGTTGACTTCTGCCTAGACGCCACTTCAGTTCCCATCTCCACTGCTTCCTCATGAAGAGCTTCCCACAGGACTGAGCACAGTGGCCAAGCAGACATGGAACTGGGGAAGCTCCCGACCATCTCATTTTTTATGTAATTATTCTATTCCATTCTGGTGAAATGAAATCCACAAAGACTACTTTTAAATTCTGAAAATAAGTCGCAATCCAAAAGGCAGAAACATTCTGGGGGAAACTCACTATGTGGATATCTTGCTTTGTACAACAGACCTCTTTTTAAGTGGATTCTTTGAAAGGAATCATTAAAAGAGCTGGGAGACTTCGATAAAGCCCGGCTACTCCGAGTGTCCACAGACCGGCAGCAGCAACTGTCTCAGGCCCAACCCAGACCCACAGCATCAGAATCTCCAGCATCTGAACTTGACCAAGCTCCCCGAGATTTCTGCTGCTGCCAACATTTGAGAAGCACTATGTTATCTGAAGAGCCTGCTTTTAATCTGAAATATAGGAATCACCCCTTAATCTTTTTGTAAAAATGATATTTTCATGGGTTCCACAGGGGCAGAAACCCAGCCCCTGTGGAAGTTGGCACTGATGGAATGATTTTTGAAAACTGTTTCCCAAGGGATTTTTGGCTTCTGTATCTCATTTTGCCTTCTCAGTACAGTCGGAGCTAGCAAAACACAAATTGGGAAATAAATAGGCTTTCTCCATTCTTCTAGCGTAACAGAAAGCTAAAGGCCAAGTAGGCCTCAGCATTGGTCCTTTTAGGTAATCGTGCAAAAATGCCCCTTCTGTTTTCCCTTAGATTGTTCATTTTCGGTTGCTTTGGTTATACAAATGCTCACATTTATTGAGCGTTTACCGTGCGTGCTGTGGTCTATCTTACATTATCTCTTTCAATCCTCACAATAACTCCCATTTTACAGTTTAGGATGTTGAGGCATAGAGAGGTTCAAACACTTGTCCAAGGTCACACAGCAAGCAAGTCCCCGAGAACTGGCCCACCCTGGAGCCAGACTTGGTGCTCCTGATCACTGAGCTTCACTGCCCTTGGGTTGGGGGAAGGGAAGCTGCTGGAGCATAGAGGCCACAGGGATCCCCACAGGCCACAGGAGACCTTGGGGTCTGCGGTCATCTGAAGCCCTTTACCGCTGGTGAAGGCCACACCCAACGTGGATTCCAAACGTTTGTGTTAGGGGCCCTGCAAATTAGACCAACAAAAGACATTAACAAGAGAAAAACCAAGAGTGATGAGTGACCCAGTGGAGTGGTTAGAATTTGGGGCTTATTTAGCTTGTTAACCAAGAACGATAAATTTATAGAGAAGTGACAAAACAAAGGAAAAGGGGTTCCAAGGGTGGCAAGCTGTGGGAAAGTAAATATGTGGGGACACTAATGGAGTAAGGTTTTTTTGTGCAGGTCCATCTCGGCACCAGCTTTCCATCATCTTCATGGCCATAAAACTCCCTTGGGAGACAGGATTTATGGCAGTCCTCATTTCTCAGAAGTTTCTGCTTTTAGTCAGATAAGGGAAGCTCCTGGAAGGCTTCTTTCTGCATCCGTTGATTCTCATTTGCCTCCAGCTCAAAATAATCCCTATGCCAAAGTGGTATATTTGGGGGTGGCATCTTCTGATTTAAGGCAGCTGTTTAAGTGGGTTCTCTTGGGATCCCCAGACTGGTTCTAGATGCCTGAGTCCTCAGTCCTGAGCTGTTGGAACCTGACTGCTCCCTCTGGCCATGGGCTGGAATGGATCATAGGCACCTAGAACCCAACCCAGTAGGGATTCCAGGTGGTGAAGGGCCCTTTTATGCTGGGAGAGATCTGAGCCCCTGTCCTGGTGCTGCCACTTACCAGCTGTGTGACTTTGACCAAGATACCTAACCTCTCTGAGACTCAATTTCTTCAACTGTTAAATGAAGATGGGATTAAATGAGAACAGGGAATGAGATAGCCCCAGGGGAGATGGTGCTAATTACCCCAAGCACTTGGTCAGCGTATCATCCCTACCACATAGTGAGCTTTCAATCCATTTTAGCTGAAAAACGCAAGAAACTTCGAGCCCTAGAGTCCAGTGTCTTGACCAGGGCGAGACCAGAGCCCTCTCCCCACTCCCAGGCCAGCACGCTCCCACTGCCCCATCTGGGCCATCAGGGGTCAGTGGGGCTTGGGTCCCTCTGCAATTTGGTCTCTAACCTGGCAGCCGGCTCCTGCACAGAGGTTGAGGGTAGAGCGAACTGTGGGTCTGTAGCCGAAACCACAGTGCTGCTGCGAAAGCCAGCGCCCCCACCTCGCCTCAGAGGCTCCGGTCCTGGAAGCCAAGGGATTTCCTGTTTCTGAGCATTTCCCACTCAGCTGCTGCTCAAGGAGAGGAGGCTGCAGGCCTTGGTTGATTTCTCTTCCCTTTTCTTTCTTTCTTTTCCTCTTACTCTCAGATGCCCGCTTAATCCTCAAAATCATCGTAGGGTTGATGGAGGCTCTATTATTGACCCTGCTCTACTGACGGGGAAATGGGCCCAGAGGTTAAATAACTTGTCCTAGTCCCAAGGCCAGCGGTGGCAGTGGCAGAGCTGGGATTTGAATGCAGGAAGCCTGGCTGCAGAGTCGCGCTCTACACGAGCCGTCACGTTTCCCCTCTGTGTTGCCAAACCAATTGACAGCGTGCTTCTGCATCTTCCAGCTTTCTTTGTTTGGTTTTCACATTATCATCAACTTAATTAGAGGATTCAACTCTGTCTACTTTAGAAGTTAAGAGTAACAGCCTGGTATGGTCTGGATGACCCTGGGCAAGTCGTGCACATGGACCTCAGTCACCTTCTCTCTGAAATGAGGGGGATGGGCTGGAATCTAGATCAAAGGTTCTCCAGGTTTGTTAAAACAGATGGCTTGGTATCACCTCCTGAGTTTGTGATTCAGTAGTTCTGGAGTGGGGCTGAGAATTTGCATTTCTAACAAATTCCCACGTGCCGCTGCTGCAGGTCCAGTGTCCACACTTTTAGAACAATCTTCTAGATGCTCTAAGTTCCTTCTGATTGCACCAGTCTAAATTCTGCTCTGCCTCTTGTTTGAAGGGTGGATTCTCTTAATCCCCAGCAATCCTGGTGGGATTGCTCAGGGTTGGCCAGCAGAGATAACCCAGAAACACTGTGTGTGTGTGTGTGTGTGTGTGTGTGTGTGTGTGTGTTGGGGGAGGGGAGACCCACAATAAAATCAAGGCCCTGGTGGAGAGTGGGCCTCTGGGCAGGTCAGGGAGAAGGCTGAGTGCAGAGCTGAGTCTTTTCTAACCTTTCCTTCTTAATTTTTTCTTCTTCCCCATATGAATTTCTCAGTTCCCCATCGTCTTTCAAGCAGCACTTCAGGGCTGGCTATTTTGGGAAATGGCTCACAGGGCGTAGTTCTGGCTCTTAAACCCCCTTTTTCCCCTGAGTGATACAAAGGAAAACTGCTCCTCTAGATAAGCAAAAGGGCATTGGGCAGGCCTGCCTCCAAGGAGCAGCCCCAGGGCGGAGCTCTGAGTAGGACCAGGGCCCTGCAGAGAGTGTTGGGGGCTGCCAGCTGAGGAATGTCGGGGATCTCGTAGGCCATGGGAGTCACCAGATCTTTGCAATCTTGGCTTTAGGTTCTAAGCTCAGCTTTTTTTTTTTTTTTTAACTTGGTAAAATATACATAACACTTGCCATTTTAACTACTTTTAAGTATACATTTCAGTGGCACTAAGTACATTCGCATTGTTGTACAACCATCACCATCATCCATCTCCAGAACTTTTTCATTGTTCCAGACTGATACTCCATACCCATTAAACAATAACTCCTCACTCTCCCCAGCCCCTGGCAATGACCATTCTACTCTGTGTCTCTGTGAATTTGACTACACTCAGCTTGTTCATCTGTTAAATGAGGTGGTTAATGAGTGATCTTAAGTTGCCTTCCAGTCATAACATTCAGAGAGTTTCAATGTCCTGGCATTTGGAAATGATGGCCATTTGTCTATGCCTTGGTCACTCCAGACCCATGCCCCTGAACGTGTTGGTGGGGAGTCAGTCACTTAGAGTCACTCCCTGGGTCCCTTGGAGCCAATCCTAATCCTGTACCCACCGTTGACTCTCAAGTTTACCCTTCAAATCTGAATTAAGCCATGGGTCTCAGGGGCCACTTTACTGGGTTTCTGCTGCATTCATGTCAGCTGGAGTCCAGCCTGGATGGTTTTTGTACTGCGAACCTAACGGAAAACATCCTAAGTAGGGGTTTGGTTTCAGCTCTGCCCTTATCAGGTTATATGACTTGGCCTCACCCCACTTCTCCCTTGGGCATCAGCTTTCTCATTAACTCTCTGTAAAATACCCCTGACCTGTGTAGAATTGCTGCAGAGTGAACATCTCAGTGTGTTTGTGTGGCCCTTGGGTGGATAAAGGCTGTGGTAGGCAGGTGGGTTCTATAAAATGAGAAGGAGGGGGCGTCTCTTCCAACTCAGCATCTCCCGCTGGGTCATGGCTATGGTCATGCAAGTCTGCTTTGCCATTTGGAGCCTACAAGTTTGTTGACATATAGCCAAACTAACATCTTGTCCAAGCAATGAACTCTTAGTCTAAGGCAAGGAAGCCTCTTGATCTTTGAGCTTTCCCCCCTTCCAGATGTTAGATGATTCCTTGCTTTATGTTCCCTGCCTATTAGGGAGGGAAGGAGAGCGGTCCCTGGTACTAGGAAAATTATATCAGAAAGAGACCAAATTGAGAGATGCCTAAGGAGAAGTGAAAGCAAGCCCTGGGATACAGCCAAACAGGCTGAGAAAGAGTTTTTGCCTCTCAGTAAGATTCAGCTTCCTTAGGGAAATGGAGAAACTGATAATTTCCTCATAATTTGTATCTGCAAGCTTAGCACTTGAGGTTTTTTAAGTTCTTACTCTCTTTTCATTATTGTATAAGGTTAGGTTTTGCAAATCCCAGTCAGCAATAGTAGATCTAGTTACAGCTTATCAGAAATGGGAAAAGTAGTCTGTTTTTATGTCTCTTACTAAGCAGTAATGTAGGTGGTCCTAAGAAGTGAGCATTTAAAGTAAGTAGGTCAGGTTACAGTTTGGTACCTTTCTCTCTTAACACCTAACTAGAGCCAATTTACTCCCATCCCCTTTAGCTTTGGACTTTATGCAAGATAAGCTTGTACCCACCCGAGTTCTCTTGGTTTTGAAGGCGGCATCCTCCCAGGGCTGTTATAGCTTTGCTGTTCTGGGTTGCAGGGCGAGCTGGGGTCAGAAGCCCCCTAACCTCTCTTCTGGCTTATGGTCCACTTCCTCCTTCTCTGACTGGTGCCCACTAATCCAAGGAAAGGTTTGATTTTCTTTTCCTCTGCCTTGTTCTCCTAGTGCTCTCCTGGTGACAAGAACTAAAAGAGAGACACTGTAGCTGGCTAGGGAACCTCTCCATAAACACATGGCTGTCCATGGCTTGCTCAGCAACTTCACTCAACCGGGTTGAGCCTTGTGTGAACTGCAATTTCTGGCTAGCCAGGAAAGTTTGTATCTTTACTCCAATAATCTTTACTCAGTACTTGATTGTTTTACAGTGCTCCAGCTTATTCTGAAAGAACTTTATAAAATGGCTTGCAGTTCATCTAAAGCAAGATGTATTAACATATATTTACACCAGTTTTTAAGACAGAAGACTAAAGTGGTTTATTACAATTAGCAACACAGTCAAGTTCTTGCCTATGAAAGAACTCAGGTCTAGGATAAGATTTCCACAGCTTAGCACAGTGGTTCTCAATGCAGAAGACATTTGCAATGTTTGGAGACATTTTTGGTTGTCATAATTTGGGGGAGAGGAGGGGTGCTACTGCGTCTAATGGATGGAGGCCAGGGATACTGCTAAACATCTTCCAATGTACAGGACAACTCCACAACAAAGAATTATCCAGCCCAGAATGTCAATAGTGCCAGTGTTAAGAAACCCTGGTTTAGAGGAATCCACCTCCTGCGATTCTTCCAACAGGAGAGCTGGTTTTCCTCTCTAGATATCCTGTGCCCACCTTGGAAGGTGTCCTAGGCATATCCCACCTGACAACTGGTGGCCCTGAGAAGAGATGCCAAGTCTCGCTCCAGACCCTAACCTATGTCTTTTGGGTCAGACAGGGCCCACCTTCCTGTCTGAGGATCTGCTCACTCAGCCTCCATCTTCTGCTTTCTCTTTGCCTGGAATTCAGACTTCCAGGATCCTTCTTAAGGGGGAAGAAGTCCAATGTACCAAAAGTGGCTGGTCATTGAGACAGGACCAAAGAACAGAGGGCCTCAATGTCATGTCCCCTCTGGGAAGGAGGGAAGAGCACTTGAGAGTCCCCACCCTTCCTGAAGGCCCAGAGCCAGCCAGCCCAGCGGGCACTGCCAATCCTGCCTCCAGAGAGCTGTTTCCTGCTTCAGAATGTGAGAGGGTAAAAAAATACTTCATAAAAAAAATGGATGCTACCCACCAGATTCCATTTTTGTGGTGGTTGCTCCATTACCAAAAAGAAACAGGGCCGGCCCCATGGTTTAGCGGTTAAGTGCACGCGCTCTGCTACTGGCGGCCCGGGTTCGGATCCCGGGCGCGCACCGGCGCATCGCTTCTCCGGCCATGCTGAGGCCGCGTCCCACATACAGCAACTAGAAGGATGTGCAGCTATGACATACAACTATCTACTGGGGCTTTGGGGAAAAAAAGGAGGAGGATTGGCAATAGATGTTAGCTCAGAGCCGGTCTTCCTCAGCAAAAAAAAGAGGAGGATTAGCATGGATGTTAGCTCAGGGCCAATCTTCCTCACAAAAAAAAAAAAAAGAAAAAGAAACAAAACAACAAGAGTGCGTAAACTTGGTGTTCCATCGGTATCATCAGCATACTTGAATTTTAGTGTTTCGTGTTCGTATTGCTTTAGGAAACAGCCCGAGGCTCTTTCCCTCTTATGTCTGATTCCAGAGCCCTGGGGGTTTGGAGGAGCGGGAAGCGTGGGGTCCTTTGGGTCCTCCCAGGTCAGATTTGGGTTGGGGGGTGGGGTGCTGCCCACAGCCTCACTCAATGTGTGGAAGTTTAGACAATGGCATGACTTTGTGGTTGGGCTGATTCATCCATTTGGCTTTTGATGCCTGCCTCTGGCGAGCCAGGACAGAGAGGGGGCCCCTTAGGAACTTCTGGCCCTGTTCCCTCTAGAGGGGACGCACAATGGAGCTGTGATAAGACAGGGTTCGAGGAGGAAGTGGACTTGTGGAAACAGGATATTTTTAAGTTAGAGAAAGAAACAGAAGGGTTGTGACTCTTGTTGTGACAGACAGGCCCTGAAACTGCCCAAGATTCAGAAGGGACCCGGTTTGAGTTTGGGCGGTAAGGTAGAAACCGAGGCCCCTTGGCATGCTTCCCTCAAGTAAGACTGAGGACCTGGGGAGGGATTATGACCCTCCAGCCGTTACCTTTACCACCTTTAAGAACGGCACCCACTCCCAGTACTCACATCTATCTCCTCTGGGGCCTTCCCCAGGCAGCAAGAGGTCCCTGTGGCTTCTCCGTTTTCAGGACTATGTCCCTAGCGAGCTATTTGGGGAATCAGCCCCAACATGTAGGCCACTACCCATTCAGAATGTCTGCTATTAGTGGGGGCCTGGTCCAATCCAAAGGGGCAAACCAAACGCCTCTCTTGCCTCTTGTAGTGAAATTGTCTCTAACTAATGCAGGCGGGGATCACTCACCTTCAACACAATGTCTCCTGTTCTGCTTGGTCTTTCTCACCCTCACTGTCATCTTCCTGACATTTGGCCAGGGTCATTTTGATCACTGCCGCCTGGCAGAGCCAGGAGTCCCAGCAAGCACTCTGGCAAGATGACGGTGTGGCCTCCGGACAGTTGAGACGTGGCTCCCCAGGGGAAGGGATGTGGGGACCCCGTTCTTTGGACAGCACTTGGGCCATATATGCCAAGAGCGTTGACAATGCTTATACCTTCTGCTCCATTGATCCCAGAAGTGGAAAACTAGTATGAAATATGGAAATAGCTTTATTCCCAAAGAGGGTACTGGCAGCATTATTTAAAATAGCAAAAACTGGAAAGAACCTATATTTTTAAAATAAGGAACTGGTTAAGTAAACAATTGCACATCCATTTAATGATTATTATGCAGCTACTAACCATTATGTTTCAGAAGGTGCCAGAAAATGTTTATAAAATCATGTTTTGTGAAAAGGATCAGCTATAAAATGGCATATTCTGTATAATTATAACTCCAAAAAGAAGCCTTCTCATAGTTGAAAATGAGGGCAAAAGTGTTAACAGAGTTTGAAAAGTGAAACCAGAGGTAATTTTTATCTACTATTTTCTACTTTTCTGTAGTTTTCAGTTTTTTCTAAAATAACTTGTGGTACTAATTTTTTAAAAAACTGTTTAAATGTCCCATGAGCTGTCAGGGACTTTATATGCTCATCATGTGGAGCTACAGGGCCCAGGGGAAGCTGTCTGTGGGCAGAGGAGGCGTAAACCTGGGCACACGGTGAGCTGGCGGGTCTGCATCTCCTGCACTTCCACCCTCCCCCTTTTTCCTTTACCTGCTCAGCCTCTGAGATGTTGGGGGTGGGGAGCCTAACCCGTGCTCTTTGCGTGGCTCACCTCCATGTTATCCTCTATTTTGCAGATTTCGTGGAAAACAGATATTCTGTAAGTACACATTTCATGAACATTATTTTTTAAAAACAGTCCATTGAACAGTGAAATATTTCCAGACTTACCCAGGTTCTGCATTCTCACTAATTACACCCCTGTACTGGCCTCCTCTGTTTTAGACCAGGAGCCCTGGTTTCCTCTGACTAGCCTGGGCCTTTGGAGGTTTGGTCATCAGGCTTGGCCAGGTTTTCTGGGCCAGTTGTAGTTTTGAATATTCTCTCCTACTATTTCCATCATTACGTCTCAGCTTACATATGAAGAGACGCCCTGGAAATCCCCTCAAAAGCCTGAGAATCTTGGGCACTTAGTTCCGAATGAGCAAAGTACGCATTTCCTCCTGGTCCAGGGTTCAGTCTTGGGAAGGGAGGCAGATTCAGGGCGTAATGCTTGGAGGAGTGGAGCACCCAACAGCTCATTTAAACTTCGAGATCGTATGCCCGTCACCCTTACACACCAGGCCCTCTGCTGCAAGGGACACTCAAGGTCCTTGACCAAATGAGGGAATCAGATGAGTTATCACTGATGAGAAAGCAAGGTGATAACAGCTCCACCAGATACTATGGGAACATAGAAGAGAGGGGCTGCATTCTGCCTGGTTAGCAGTCTGTTCACCAAGGAGGGGTCATCTGGACAGGCCGTGAAGAATGAGTGGGATTACAGCAGCCTCCAGGTAGAAATACCAGCAGAGGCAAAGGCATGAGGGACAGAGCAGTTTCAAGCAGCTCAGAATGGGAGGAGAAGAGGGTGACAGTGACAATCGATAGGAAGAGGTCAGTTAGGACTTGCATGTGAAGGACTTGAGTGCCTCATTATGAACTCCAATACTTTCATTCTGTAGGAAATAGAGCATTTAGGAAGCTGCTACTTGGCAGATGGGAATATTTAAAAGATATGCAGGGGCTGAGCCCGTGGCATAGTGGTTAAGTTCGCGTGCTCCACTTTTGCAACCCACCCAGGATTCGCGGATTCGGATCCCGGGCGTGGACCTACTCACCACTTGTCAAGCCACGCTGTGGCGGCATCCCACATATATAGTAGAGGAGGATGGGCACGGATGTTAGCCCAGGGCCAATCTTCCTCAGCAAAAAGAGGAGGATTGGCAACAGATGTTAGCTCAGGACTAATCTTCCTCACCAAAAAATAAAAAAATAAAAAATAAATAAAAAAGATAAATAAAATAAAAGAAATGCAGAGGTTCAAGTTCAAATTTTGCAAAGACCCTGCCCCTCCATCCCCTATCTTCCTACTCCTAATCTTTTTATGAGCTACCCAGCAGCACAGGAGTTAACTATCTGGGCAGCTAGTATCTTAAGAAATGAGGAATTTGCCTCACGAACTACTTCTTTAAGGTCTGGGAAGAACTTTGAGCAAGATTGCTGGTAGCCCTTCCAATGGGCCCCTGGCTTCCTTTGTTTTGCCCAAGTCTGAATTCTTGTAAAACAGAGAACTCATTATGCCTCTGATGGACAGGAAGCCACTGACATTCTTTTTACGGAGGAAAGCTATCAATTTAAGGAAAGGAAAAATGAATTGAATGTCTTTTTCTAGACTATACCCACTCAGACTCCTGAAATCAGAGACTATTGCATTGGAAGGGCAGGGAGCCCAATTTATAGGTGTGAAAACCGAGGCCTGAATTGGCAGAACAGCTTGTGCAGGGTCACCCAGCTAGTTAATAGCAGAGCCAGGACCAGAACTCAGGTCTCCAGACTCCCTGGCCGGTCTACAACACAACACTCCCTCCAAGAAGTGATGTCACTGCCCCAGCCATCATGGCCTTGAGAGTGGAAGGTAAGAATGGGCAGTGTGGGACCCGGATAGAGGGATGTTCTCCCACTGCAGTAAACATGGTTGTGTCCACCCAAGGCAGGTCTGCTGGACCTGTAGGACCCACTTATTTACTTTGTCTTCAATCCAACGGTCTCTCTGGACAAAGGCTCCGAGCTCCAGGACACACAGAACTTGCCCTTTCCCCAGAAGCTGGCCCGTGGGCCCAGAAGTCTGCTCCTAGGATGCTCCTGGGACCTCACCCATGGCTAGTCCTGAGACCTCACCCATGGCTAGTCCTGCCTCCCAAAATAATAAAGACTTTTGGCGGGAGCGCAGTGGTTCCCAGCCATTGGGAAAGGGATTTTGAATCTTGAAGCAAATGCATTTTGTTTATAAAAGAAGCAGGTATAGTTTCCCTAATAATCAGCTGGTGAGGGTCAGGAGAAAATTAATTGAATTGCCCAGCAGGGAAATGGGAGGGGATTTCCTTCCTCAAATCAAACCTGGCGATCATTCCCAGTTGTTTAATGGCCGTTGCTTCTGAAAACATATTGGAGGAAATATCTTAACAATGAGATAGCCACTTAGCCAAATACTAATTTAGTATTGTTTGACTTGCTTCAATGGCACATTCTGACTTCATTTTTCCTCTGCCATTTTTGCCTTGTTTATAAATCGTGTTTGTGGCCCAGGCAGACAGATAACGTGAAAGAGAACACCCTGTACTTAAGTGAAAGAGGTGAATCTGGACCTGCGTGGGTCTTAGGATCTTGGAAAGAACCTTGCCTTCTTACTAAAAAAAGGCAATTCCCAGTTACAGCTCACCTCCCCCTACTCCTGGGAGCCAGCAGGTGGCTGCACTGCAGTGGGAACTGCCCAGGAGTTGGGATCAAGAGACTGGAGTGTGAGTTTCAGCTCTCCAGCCATCTTTTGGGTGAGCCTCAAGCCTGAGCTTCCCAATCTGTAAAACGGAGATGATGATGACAACAACAAAAACAATAATAGCTACCCATGAGGAGTGTCTTAAGGGTTAAATGAGAAACACATGTGCAAAATGCAAACTACCGTATAAACACTAGTTGATTATCTATTTTAAAGTTCCTTTCATCAAACACTCTGGCAGTTTGGGGTGTGGCTAGGGAATTTATCTCACTTGGCCCTGAAATGCCCCTGTCACATGAGGAAGATGTGACAGTGGTTTACCCAAGGCACAGGATTCCACCAAAGCCAGCCTTTGACTTAGGAATCAGAGACCCCGTTAAAACTTGACATTTCCCTGACTAGCCATTTACTATCCGTGTCACTTTGGGCAGATCTTCTAACCTCTCAGGGCCTCAGTTTCCTCATCTGTAAATTGGAGGTAATAACCCCGCCACCCACCCCCCAGTTGTTGCAAGGATTAAATGAGCACCTAGTACAGGCTTGGTTTATTGGAAGTGCTCATAAGAGGCACATTCTAGAAGCAGGAATAGAGATCCCACAAGTGTTAGAAGCAAAATGGCACTTGAGAGCATCCACATCATGTTCTGGCCAGAGGTGGGGTGATTTCATGGCTGTACTTGGGTGGCTGACGGCTGGCCTCTGAGTCAAGCACAGGCAAGACCACAGACCTTGGATGTGAGCGTGTTAACCTTTACTTCAAAATCCCTAAGGCCCAGTTGACTGTGGCCCAGCCCTTCCCATTTCTGGGACTGGTTCTGTAAGCAGCTCCCCAAGCACACATTTCCCCCAGAGAGGGAGAGCAGAGGTGTCTGGGGAGGGACTTGGTCTGGGGCCTGCAGAAAGGCTGGACCCCAGGGTCACCCGTGCAGGTGGAGCAAAAAATTGGGGGCAAGGGTAGCTGGCAGGGCTGGCGGGCCTCCAGCCCCATGAGGACAACACAGCTCTCTTGGCCCGCTTGCCCCGGTCTCTCCTGACAAAGGAGGAGGAAGACCCTCGGCCTTCCAGCTGGAAGACCAGCATCCTGTTCCGAGAGGATCCTCAGACCCAGCAGGGCCAGAACAAACAAGGACTCTAGCTCACCCCACCCTCAGGGAGCCAACCAGCCCAGCCATGGGGTTCCCAAGGTCCTGGCTAATCCTCACAGCTTCTCCTGCTCCTGCCTTCCTGAGTTCCACCTGCAGCAGGGTGCCCTGTGCTCACGGAGGAACCAGAGTCGTGGACTCAGATGGTGTCTGCTCTTCAGGGCTCACCATTGCCCAGGGCCCCTCTATTCCAGTAGCTCCCAGCATGCTCCACTCTTGCCCCCTCGCTCCATCCATTTGTCAAAGTCCGCCCCACCTTGGAGGCTGCTCCAGAGCCACTTCCCTGAAGCCTTCTGGGATTCCCTCTCTGCCCAGCTAGGGTCCTCTCACTGCCCCTGGACTCCTTCTGCAGTTTGTTGGGACCGCTTCCACCTTGTACTTCTTGGTGGCATCGTTTGTCAATTATTGAGAGGATATAAAATTCTTAGGGGCAGTTTCTTGCATCTTCAGCGTAGAGAACAGTGCCTGGGTCAGGTGGGGGTCCAGTCACTGATGGTAGGTGACACAAATACCATACGAAGCATTTAGAGAACACTGCAAGATGACATATGGAATCTTTTTTTATTGTGGTGAAACATACACAACATAAAATTTACCATTTTAACCATTTTTAAGTGTACAGTTTGGTGACATTAAGTACATTCACATTGTTGTGCAACCATCACCACCATCTATCCACAGAACTTTTTTATCATTCCAAACCAAAACTCTGTCCCCATTAAACACTAACTCCCCGTTCCTCCCAGCCCCTGTCAACCACTATTCTACTTTCTGTCTCTACGAATTTGACCACTCTGGGTACCTCATATAAGTGGAATGATACAGAATTTGCTTCTTTTGTGTCTGGCCTGTTTCACTTAGCCTGACATTTTCAAAGTTTATCCATGTTGAAATTATCAGAATTTTATTCCTTTTTAAGGCAGAATCATATAATTTTAAAACATGTAAGTTTGATCATATGACTTCACTCCTTCATTTTTGAAATTAAAAAACAGACCTAGAGAAGGTTCATCTCATTTTAGAGGCAGAGCTGGAACAAGAAGCCAGGTCTCTCTTAACTTCACTTTTACTGGGGGTAAGTGTAGAACCCATGGGACATAGTGCTGGGTGCACAGTGGGTGCTTGATGGAGTTGGTTGACGGCCTGATGTGCTACATGTATAGGGGGAGTAGAGCACAGTGGACATAGAGAGAAGGGAGAAATGAGTGTGGGTAGGAGCTGCCCCGACAGGGTGGGGATACCAGGGGATGACAGCACTGTTTTGGAGTTCCTTTGAGAAGACCTGTCTGCAATTTTGCATATCTTTCCACTAGGCCAGTCTTCAGTCCTGAAGTGTGTCACCATAGCTTGTCTTGTCTCTTGTCACTACAGAGAACCGAAGGCTCCCTTGATGGAACTTAGGACTGCAAGAGTCCTGGGAGGACATCCACATTCCAAGAAGAGCAGACGATTCCTGTATTCCAAGAGCTCTGTGCACTTATTTATGAACCTGCTCTGCTCCCACTGCACATAGCAATTCCTCAGACCAAGTCACCAGTTCTTAAATCCATCTTACTACATTTATGTTGCGTATAAAGAGATGCATAGAGGCTGGCTAATTTCCAACATGGCCCACCTCCCACCAAGTTGGAGCATCCTCGAGAGTGGAGAGCTGCAGAAGGAGGTTCAGAGTAAACAGGCCATTGGGATATTTCGAAACTTGAATATTTTGTCTTGTACAGAGATAAAGAACTTTTCCAAGTACCCTCATACACAGAAACCTGTTTTTGTTTTGCAGTCACTCACTTCTAGCGAATGGCCTGGCTTAGGGGCTAGTTTTTCTCTTTGCCTTTGGTCCTTCCAAGGCCTGTGGCTCTGGGTAGTCCTTGTTCCTTGGAAGTGCACAGCATGACCAGAGAGCGGCACCCTGTCCCCTCTATGACCTCACCCACCACAAATGGGAAAACAAAGCTGCTTGGGAGCGACCCCTTTGGATGCCAACTTGAAGACAAGGTTCATTCCAGGCAATGCACAAAATAGAAAATGAAGTTGGACAAAGCACAGATGTTCTTAAGCTGTTTTTCTATACCCTTTCTTTCTTTTTCCTCTACCTTGCTGAAGGCTGAAAGACAGGAAGATGATGGCCTACAGCAAATATTGTTTTTAATAGAAAAATGAAATGCATATTTTTCTTACTAATTTTTTTTTATTTATTCCTTCCTAAGGAAATGGTCTCTTGAGGTCTTAAGATGTTTCTGATGGTGTCTTGAGTGGGTGGACGAGGGGCTGTGGCCATTTTGTGGTGGAATTTCACTAGTGAGCACACCTAACCGAAACCACGTCCCCCATCCACCTCAGAGTCATGGCTGCAGGGACACTGTGGGGTGTTATATTAAATAAATTTGATCTTTACTCTTCACAGACCTGTGAAATGTCATCTTCTGAGAGGCCACGTGCATATAGAATATCTGTAGTGCTCAAGGACTCCTCAGGCCTTCTGAAGTGACAGAGAAAACCAGGCAGGTCTCATCAGCAGGCTGAGAGGCCAAGGGCCTGTGTGGTGTCATTATCCACTCAATATCCATTGGCTAGTCTTCAGTGTTTGCTTCCCAGCTGAAGACCTCTAGGCCATCCCTGGCAGATAGGGTTGTTAGACTGAGCAAAAAAGCAACAAAAACCCCAAAAAACCAAGAGGCTCAGTTAAGTTTGAATATGAGATAAATGAATAATTTTTTAATGTAAGTATGCCCCCATGTAATGTTTGGGACATGCACATACTACACAAGTACTCATTTATCTGAAATTCTAATGTAACTAGGCATCCTATATTTTATCTGGCAACCCTACTGCAAAGCATCCTCCTACCCCTCTAAGCCTCAGGAACCACCCTTCCCAGTGGCCTCAGACCAGATGTCACTGCCCCAAGGGCCGGGTCCCCATTAGAGCACCACTCCACTGGGCCTGAAGGCAGAGAGAGATGTGAATGCATGTCCTGGCTCTGCCAGATTCCAGCTGTAGAAACTCAAAGGAGCCTCTTAACCTCTGAGCTTCAGATTCTTCATCTCTAAAATGAGGAGATTAGACTAATGGTTCTTAACATTTGGAGGGTGTAGACTCCTTTGAAAATATAATGAAAGCTATGGACTCACACAACACACACACAAAGTTGTATCACAAAAATGCTATACCATTTCCCAGTTTTCAGGACCATGGACTCAGGTTGGAGGCAAAGGATTAGATGATCTCTAATGAGGTTCAAGTCTGATAGTCAATGTGTTGATGATCTGGGGAGACCCCAGAGCCCCCGTGTCAACCCCTCAGTCCGTTGCTGCTACCAGAGGAGGGCCATTGCCATGGAAGACCCTGTTCCTACCGCTTATGACGTATGATAGAGCATAAGTGGGTTTTTAATTATTTTTCCCCTCTGCCTATATTTCTGAGGAGGAAACCACACACTTAGGAATCTTTCATAGATTTAACGGCTAAAAATCTCTAAATCCAGGATCCCGGTGCATCTGTCCTAACCCGCCGGCATAACCAAGCGTCTGAGCCTGAACTTGTCACTTAACTGGAACCTCCAGGCACCATTTCCGGGAGATGCCATTTCCTCAGCAGAGGAACTCGTTAGTTAGAGCTCCCTCTCGTGTCCTCACGTTGTAATCAATCCTTAAAGAACTTAAAACACCCCTTAGCAAACTCCTAGTGGAATTTGTTTCCCTCTTCTGAGGAGGCACAAGAGGTCAGCCACCCATTTCATGAACATATACTGAGCGCCCCATCAGCGTTAACTGATTAACTGAACTCTCAAGGTCAACATTCATTCATTCAAGCAGTGGTTTCCTACCAGGGCAATTTTGCCTCCTGGGGGTCATTGGGCAGTGTCTGGAGATATTTTTATTTTTTATTTTTTTAATTTATTTTTGCTGAGGCAGATTCACCCTGAGCTAACACCTATTGCCAATCTTCCTCTATTTTGTATGTGGGCCACTGCCACAGCATGGTCACTGACGAGTGGTGTAAGCCCATGCCTGGGAACTGAACCCTGGCCGCCAAAGCAGAGTGCACTGAACTCAACCACTAGGCCACCGGGGCTGGCCCTAGAGACATTTTTAGCTGTCACTGATCATCCCATTGGGTGGGGGTCTTATCGGCATCTGGTGGATAGAAGCCAGGATGCTGCTAAATATCCTACAATGCACAAGACAGTCACCACAACAAAGAATTATCGAGTCCAAAATGCCAATAGTGCCAAGGTTGAGAAACCCTGCATTGAACCAGCCAGTTACATTTGTTTACTCAACAAGCTTGTATCCATCATGCTGTGTTCCCGATACTGTTGGGAACAGAAAGATTATAAGAATCACATGGGGGCCAGCCCCGTGGCTTAGCGGTTAAGCGCGCACGCTCCACTACTGGCGGCTGGGGTTCGGATCCCGGGCGCACACCAACGCACCGCTTCTGCAGCCATGCTGAGGCCACGTCCCACATACAGCAACTAGAAGGATGTGCAACTATGACATACAACTATCTACTGGGGCTTTGGGGAAAAAATACCATCACGTGGCCCCTACTTTCCTGGAACATACAATCCAGTGGAGATACAGATGAGTAGAGAGCCAATTACAACAGTGGGACAAATTCTGTGATGGAGAAATTCAAAGCAAATGGGGCACAGAGAAGGGGCTCCTCACACAGACTTCGGAGGATCAGAGAAAGTATCCAAGAGTAAGCTGGGTTTAACCAAAGACCTGAGGGCAGGTAGAGGGTACCAGGTGGAAAAGTTGGGAGGAGGAGTATGGCCGGCAAAGGGGGAATGTGTGCTAAGGCCCTGAGGCAAGGGAGAGGATGGTGTCCTCAACGAACAGCAAGAAGACAGCCCTAGAATTCAATTAGACCATTGTCTCTGGGAATTTCCGCTGGAATCCACTGGCCTGACTCAGTCTTTGAGAGTCTTAAGAAGAAGATGCCTGAAAGTTGCTCAGCAAGGAGTCAGTTCCTGAGCACAGCTGTTTTGGGGACTCTCCACCAGTGTCACTAGAATGTTGGAGAGAAAACCTCTGCCATAGGTCAGATTCGGCCCTTGCTTACACCATGTGGCTCAGGTGAAAAGGTGAACTGGAGGAAGATGGATGTCCAGCAAGCTATTTGAGGACAGTCTCCAGAGCTGGAGTCCACAAGGTGAGGGATGGGGGGAGGGCATGGTGTCTGTGAGCCCCCTGAGAGTAGGTGCAAAAAGTTATGAGTACACAGTTTTCTGGGAGAGAGTCCGTAGCTTTTATCAGTTTCTCAGAGACATGATCCAAAAAAGGGTTAAGAACTACAAAATAATAAAAAACACATATTCTCCAATTGATTTAATGTCAGTTGAAAACCCAAAAAGAGTGGTTAACTTATTTGTTATCAAAGGGTCTACTTCATGGACAGTTTTAAGTCCGATATCTCTAGACTTGGCTTGCCTTGAATAAATTGCTCAGAATAAAGAAATAAATGGTAATTTCAGTGTTAAGAAGAGACAGCCCTCACCTCTCGAGGGCAATAAGCTATTAGACTGTTTGGGAATACCAAAAGAATAGGCAGTACATTTACTGAAAACTTCATGGTCCAAAGTATTTCTAAAGCCTGAGTTGTCCCTTCATAGTTTAACGGGAAATGAATCATTATTTCAAAATGAACTTTGACAATAGAAGAGAAAAATTATTTCCATGTTCACAGAGGATGTAGGATGCTATAAAGCAAATAAAATTCTTAAAGAAAAGTAAAAGGCAAGTTGGAATAGGAGATTGGCCACCAGTTGACTCTGTGACCTAGGAGATGTCACACAACCTAGGGTTCTTCTCCTGCAAAAAATGGTGTATTAGTGTCCCAGGGCTGCCGTAGCAAATCACCACAAACTCTAACTTAAAACAACAGAAATTTATTCTCCCGCTGCTCTGGAGGCCAGAAGTCTGAAATTAAGGTGTCAGCAGTGCCACGCTCCCTCCAAAGTCCCTAGGGAAGATTCCTTCCTTGCCTTTACTTCTACTTGCATCTTCAGTAGTTGAAGCATGGCCTTCACATAGTCTGCAATGGCCTTCTCACACGGACACCAGTCATTGGATTTAGGGCTCACCCTAATCCAGTATAACCTCACCTTAACTAATTACATCTGCAAAGACCCTATTTCCAAATAAACTCACGTTCTAAGGTTCCAGGTAGACATGAATTTTTGGGAAATGCTATTCAATTCAGCACATGAGAAATTGGACAAGACAAGCCTATGTCTTTGCAGCTCTGACTTTCCATGTTTCTAAGATGCTCATGTAAACAGAAAGGTGTGACAACAGTGATTTACCTTCAAATAACAACCTTTTGAGCCTCTCAATCTGGTGTTCTCTCACTGTGTTTTGCTCTCTTGTGTTTCATGTCTTTGCCTCTGAAAATATTATTGCGTTTTTTTTGTGTGTGTGTGAGGAAGATCAGCCCTGAGCTAACATCCATGCTAATCCTCCTCTTTTTGTTGAGGAAGACCGGCTCTGAGCTAACATCTATTGCCAATCCTCCTCCTTTTTTTCCCCCCCAAAGCCCCAGTAGATAGTTGTACGTCATAGTTGCACATCCTTCTAGTTGCTATATGTGGGACGCGGCCTCAGCATGGCCGGAGAAGCAGTGCGTCGGTGCTCGCCCAGGATCGAAACCCGGGCCGCCAGTAGCAGAGCGCGCGCACTTAACCGCTAAGCCACGGGGCCAGCCCTATTGCGCTTCTTTCTCTAACCTTCTTCAAAGCTCTCCCTCCCTCTCTCATCTCTCATCCTTTCCCTGCTTCCTCCTTCCCTTCCTTTTTCTCCTCCATTTCATCTTTTCCCTTTCTTCCCTCTCTGCAATTAATTGGCCATAATACAGTACTGAAGTTTATGTATTTCTTATATTTATAGATGAGTTTTATATTACCAGTTATATTTTGAGAGCCAATGCATGGAATATTTTCTATTTTTCTCTCTCTTTAGGGAAAAAAAATGCCTCAAAAACCCTACAAAGTTGTTTTCTATCTATATTTGACCCTTAGTGGATTATTTTTCCGAGGGTTTATTGGATTCATTAGGAAAAACTCCCCAGTTACTGCCTTACTTCCTCCCAATCCTGGGATGTGCTAGTTTTCCTGGAACCTCTTGGCAAAGGGGGGTCTGGTTTAGTGCCAGAAACTATTTCACTAGTTTCTGGTTTAGTGCCAGAAACTATTTCACTAGTTTCTGGTATAACCACCACTCCCCTCCTCAGGGCTTGGGTTGTTCAGGCCAGAATTCACAGCACGGGGAAACTTCCCACTGTTGGGACTTTGAACGAGTCCAGGACTGGGTCCTAGAAAAAGGAAAAATAGCGGATTTCTGTGCCTTCCAAAGTGAGGACAAACCCTGCACTAGAATCTGACACCATCTCTAGAAG